CACCTCTGCCAGTTCCCTCAGCACCCATGGATGCATCCCATTGGGTCCCATGGATTTGTGATTTGGATTTTCTCTCTGCCTATCCTAGCAGTGTTCTTGTACTCTTCTCTAGCTGCCTGCCTGTCCTTCCAAGGGTGGTCAACTCTTTTTCCCAGAGTCTCAGCAGGAGTTCGTGGAACACTTCCTCTGCCTCCTCACCTGGTCAGCTGTTCTGCAACAGGCTCCCACTGGGATGTCTGCCTTGCTGGCCTTCCCCCCACCCTTACCCACAGGGACATGACATTCCCAGTCCTGACCTCATCATCAAAACAGTCCCTCACATATGGGGACACCCCACTGCCGTCCTTCATTGCCTATTCCTCCTGCAGAGCCCATGGCCCTCTGTTGCAGCTCTCTGGTTGTGAGTGTTCCCCTTGTGTTTTGGTGAGGGCAACTAAGTCAGATTTTGCCTGCTGCACAGTGGCTTTGAGCTCTCCTGTTTGCTGCCCATGCTGTGGGTATGGATGAGCTTCAGCTATTGGCCGTTGTGGTTGGGAACAGTGCCGGCTGCCCAAAGCATTACCTTGTTTTGATGATAGCTTAATAGCAGGAGGAGCCCATCAGTGGCTACTGTTTAAGCTTTTGTGTGATTAGTTTTTTATAACTTAATGCTATACTGACTCTGATAGGGTTTAAATGCTTAAACAAATTGGATACTGTGCTGCAGCATCTTGCGTTTGCCTCTCAGCCTTGCAAGTGTCAGAAATGACATCTGTTATCAATGAGGTGGCTGTATTTGAATGTGGCACTGTGTTTCAGAATGCCTGCTTTGCGGTCGTGCTGCTAAATGTTGAGTTGTTGGGCTTAGTGTTAGCTGCTCTTCCCTTTCTTAGGGATCCCTGTTTGGAGTTGGGTCAGTGGTACCGTGGAAATTGTATCTAACCTGGGCTTTTTTCTGTCGCGTGCTATTTAAGCCTGAAGAAAGCATGTTTTCCTGGGCCTGAAGAAGGGGAGGAATACTTGATATTTCCCCCTTTTCGCTGGGAGGAGGAACGGTTGGAGCTGTCTGGGGTAAGGCGTCTTCTCTTGAGATACAGGACAGGCATGGGAGTCTCCATCGTGTAGGATGTGAGAGGAGCACCCAGATGGACACAGAGCTGTTGGTCCTCCTGGGGGAGAGGAAGCCTTAATGTCACGATGGGCAGAAAGTCAGGAGTGAGGTAACATGGATGCAGGACTTCACTAGATGGTGGACAGAAAGACACCATTTCCTCTGCATCTCATTAGGGCTCAATTGTTTGATTGACTGAGAGCCCTCACTGCAGCACCGTTACTGCTGTGAGATATGTGAGATAGTGTTTACTATACAGCATGACATGAACAGCTCAAGCAGAATCACACTTGTCAAATAAAAGGGGAAAATATTTGATGCTGCATCTGACATCTCAAAAACTAGAAGGCAAATGACTTGTTAATGTGAGTTAGAGGCTTTGCCAGTGGTAAGAAAGGGAGGAAACACTGGTTTGAGAGGACTGGGCTAAGTGAGCTCCCCAGGAGGAGGGCAGCAGCAAGCCTGCCGGAGATTGCTGCTTCCGGAGCAGGAGCTGATGAAAGCATTTCATGGCTCTTGGCCCAGTCTTTTCTGTTGTGTTGGTATGAGTTGTTGCAGAATAACATTTTTCAGCTAAATATTCTACCCATTATTCTACATTCACAGCAAAGATCTGATGATATACTTGGAGACAGGGATTTTTATTATCTCCCTGACCCAAAAAGCAATGTGAAGATCAGGTGGAAAATAACAGAGCGTCCTTCTTAGTTAGCTTGTGCAGTGAGAGCACTGTCCTTCAGCGCTGTGTGCTTGTACTTGGATTTTGCTCAGTAATGATCAGTTTGGCTAAGTGGGGCAGTGAGGGGCCAGGCAGCATGATGCACCTTGAGTCTGGGACGTGAGCAATATGTGTGTTCTCCACATTCATCCACAATCCACCATTGGTAGAACTTCTGTTACACCTTGTAAGGGCTGGCTGATCCTCCCTTGAAGGCCAGGGCAGGCCTGCTTACCCTTGGCATGGTTTGCTGTCTCAGGCACAGAAGGTTTGCAGGCACTGCGTTTCAGGGCTTTGTGCTGTTCCTAAGCCACTGCTTGCGCTGTTTGCCTGAAACTGAGCTCCAAGCTTTACACTGGATCATCAACCCTGCTGCAAATCCTGTCTTGATTACTGTGGAACTATTGTTGCACAAGTTTCTTTCTTCTTTCTTTATGACATTATTATTTAAAGAAAAGGTAAGCTATAATTGTACTTGCTATTTTTTTAAGGGCGAGTACCCCAAGAAAACATCCTCAGAAAGGAGGAATGTCTTGTTAGAACGGTGATTGGTATAGCTCTAAAGCTATAGTTCATTATTTCTTTGGGCAAATAACATGGGGGGAGAGCATCTGGTAGTACAAATTGTTATAACCCATTGAAATCAGTGGAACTATGAAAATTTACGTAGCCAATGGTCTGTCTCACAGCTGTAACAATTTCGGAGGTTTCATTGTGTTGCAAATGCTTTATAGCAGCAGTGGTTTGTAGTAAATGCAGATGAACTTACTTGTAGATTGTGGAGGATTTGGCAGATATGCCTACAGCTCCAGCTCTCCCTGGAAATAGGTTCTAGCAGCCTTCTGGGAACTGCGTGGCCAGAGGGACCAGACCACAAAGTTGTGATGACAGAGTTGCACTGGTGTGTGCTTGTCACTATGTTTTCCATGGTGGCACTTCTGTACTTTAATTTGGTTGGATCCTTGGCAGAGAAGGCTTTTGCCATCATAATCACCCGATCTGTTTGTGTGTTGTCTTTATCTTGATGGTAATCAACGGTCCGTCTTGATGATGCATTCAGTTTTCCACCTTCTGGCACAAATCCTTGGGTACATTCATGTTGTGTTTACTTTCTTGTTTCCTGGCAGGCTCCTTACCCCTCAGGACAGAATGCAGCTCCAACCACACTGGTGTACCCTCAAGCCCCGCAAACAATGAACACTCAGCCTCAGACCCGCTCGCCGGTAAGGCAGCTCACCTTTGCTTTATCTCTTTTCTTCCTTGTTTGCGTGGTTCTCTGTGTGTATGTGCGTCTGCAGCACTTGGCCACTTCTCTGGAAAGTCAGTTTTACCGAACTGGAAGCACATTCCAAATGGCAAATCTTGACTGAATATGCAGGCGTTGTCCTCATAGGATAATTTTCTTTATCAGAAAAGAAACGATGGAGGGATTCTCATCTACATTCAAATAACATGATTTATTTTTAGCATAGTTGCTTTCAAGTTCACTTCATTTTAAAATTAGATTCATTACGAGTCTTTCTCTTTGCTTCATTTTTTTTTTTTCTCTTTAAGGAAGTATTTGCTAAGTGGTAGCACAAAGATCAGTAAATGAAAGCGCTTCTCTGCAGCCACACTCAGTCCCCAGTGGCCTGTGGACTTTACTCAGTGCCACTGGATCAGTTCTACCCATTTATCTCTTAGCTGTAGGTAGGTGCTCACTCATGGAAGGTAGAGCTTCTGTGTCCCTCCATCTTGCTGTGGCAAACCCCCTTCCATCTGCCTTCAGGTTTGGTTGTCCTCCGCAGTCTTTTTGTACTGCTCTGCTGTGACGAGCCTTTGGTTCCCTGAGCTCTTGTTGGCAAATCTCAGCTTGTAGTGCAGTACCATGTGGTGCTAGGAGACCTTCCTGTGGCATTGCATGCTTAGCCCCATGCTGCAGGCCTCCTAGCGTGCTGCCCTGGTGCCGAAAGCCTCAGGTAGCCAAGGGACTAGCAGTCCTGCATCTCTTGTGAACCTGCATATGCGTCGCAACACTTCAGGTTACCTGTGAAACCACTGCACCATTCCCAGCACTCTTCTCTTTTTAGAGTAAGATGAATGCTGCTGAAGCGTGGCAACTGAAAGCCTCCAGGTACAGTACAGGGCTAGCTTACCCTGTGTGACCGCACTGATGTGCGTGCCCCACTCTTGGGGGTTCTGCAGGAGGCTGCAGGAGGGTTAGTTCTGAGAGCTGCTGACCTCTGTGCCATGGGTGAGCCAATTAATGCCAGGTTTGATGAGGTGATGGGGACCCCACCAGATCCCACTACTTTCCTAGTCCCCTGTTCTGATCAGTAGCATGGGATACTGATGGTAAAGCTCTTTGCTCAGTAAGTATATTCAGCGTCTTTATCTTTAATTGTTGAAAAGCAAAAATAAATTGATATGGTTAGAACTGGAGCAAAACCTGACTGAAGAGCTGCATCTCTAAACCAGTTTTTTTGACAGCCCAGCAGAACAGTGCCAATACATTGCACAGACAACTGGAAGAGGAGGAAGGTTTTGGAACAGAGTCCGGTTTACAGGTCCCTGGCTGGAAGAGGCTGGATAAAATACTGCATTGTAAGCAATATAACAAACTGTACTCCTTCTTGCAGGCAATTGTGCCGATGGCACTGTTTTATTTCTTTATTTCTTTTTTTTTTTTTTTTACCACATCTTTTTGTTGGCTGATCTACAGAAATGCACTGATTTGCTTCTTTGCTAAAAGCATGAGCTCCCATGGCAGTTCCTGCCGGGTTAAGTGGCGACAGAACATCCAAAGTTGAGTTGAAGTTTGGAGGGTCTGACCTGTGAGGATGGAGACCAGAGTGACTTTGGGTTTTCTGCTCAGCAGATAATGTTTTCAGGAGATTTGACCAAAAACGTGTCAAATTGTAGAGGCTTGGCCATTACTAAAGAGGTACTGAAGAAGAATTTGCCTGCAGTTGTCAGTCATTTCTCTGTGGTCTTGAACCATTTTTTTTTTTTTAACTCTCATGTATGCAGTTTTTGCCATCTGCTCTGCTAGTGACCATTTCCACCCCCATTACTAAAAGCCACGCACATAACATTCCATTCCCCCCACCCCAAAACAAATGCAAGGCCAGCCACTCCTGGGCCACTCTTGCATTTTGTTTTGGCCTTGGTTTACTTTATTATTATTATTATTATTATTATTATTATTATTATTATTCATTTATTTTTAACCTTCTTTTTTGGTGGTGAGGGGGGGTGCAGAGGGCAGAGGAAGGCGGCAGGATGGCCCTGCCACCCACACATGACTCCGTCGTCCCGCTGCGGTGATGCTGCTGGTGCGGCTGGAGCTCCCTCCATGCGGTCTCTGCATCCCAGGGCCATTGGCAATTGCACGGCTCAGGCTTTTCTGTTCCTCCCAGGACAACTGCCTTTGCAATCCCAACTGGCTTCACGTGTTGTCCCCATTAGCTTCCTAGCGTTGCCGCTGTGGGATAGCAGGAATGTCAAGGTGCAGCTCCAGCAGGGGGAAGGAGAATGAAATTCAAGTTGACTGACACTGCTGCAGATGACCTGTTAGGTGATGGCAGCACCGGCTGCCTGTTGTACATCTGCCAAAGCCCACGCTGGTGTTTGTGCCATCTAGCAGTGGCTCTTTCCGGATAGGTGCTCCCTGCGCCTGACCACCAGCAGCAGATAGCGGCCGTGCCCAGGTGCATGCTGCCAGGTTTCCCCACCGAGCTGTCCTTTCATCCTACAGCCCTCGGAAGAGCAAAGCATCTGTTTGAATCCAAGCCAGCAGTGACTACAGTTTGTTCTGTTGCTTACAGCTGCTAATAGGAATGAATCCTGTCAACCTGAACTGTTTTTTTTTTTTTTTTAAAAGGAAAAAAAAAAAATTAAAAAAATCAATAGCCAGTGGTGACCAGTGCAAATAGATCAGGGTATTTTTCACTAACTTTGAGGTTTTGTTTTTATTTATCTACGTTTTTTTTCTTGTAACACATTGCTGCTCACGCTGGCATAGTCTCTGGCTTCCTAAGGTGTAAGCATCAGTTCTTGTTGAGAACAAATCTTTCCTGCAGAACAGTGATAAGAGAGGCGTTTTGGCCCTCAGGTTAAGCAGCACGAGGCTTTTGTACCCCATCATGCTCTTTTTAGTGCTTCTAAAACACATCTGATGTATTTATTTTTCACTGGCATATAGCAAGGTGTGCAGCCACACCAGAAAGGCCTCTCTCAGCCTTTCCAGGATCAGCGCTATTCCTTCTTCTCAAATGCCCAACACTTTTTGGGGGAGTTCTTCCTGAGGAACAGGGACCCAAAGTGCATCCATCTCTACTAGGCTCCCACAGGCTGAAGTTTCCCACAGCAGCTGCTGGTCAGCAGGTTTTTGGTCTGAAGAGCTGAGAACCTTCTGTGTTTTTTCTTATCTGGAAAGCCAAGGGAGATTGTTCAGGAGTGGCTGTTGGGGGAGGGGATGTCATTGGGTGAGTCAGTGCAGGTGATTCTGTGTGAGCTCTCATGGTAGTCACTGTGTGTGCATTTCCTCATTTCTGAAGGTTTTTGACTTTCCACCCAGATGTTGCAGTGAGGTGAAGGTAGAGGGAGTGTGTGAACATCGGTATTAGAGACATGGAAAATGAGTGATTAAAATGTTTATTAGGGAGAAAATCAGGTGGACCAGTGAATATTTAAACTTGCATCTTGTATTTAATGCTACTGAAATAGCAGGGATGTAGGGCTGGAAGTCATTCCCACTCCACTTATTCTCTTGTTACAAGAGTCAGTAATGAGCAGCCAGTTTTGATCACTTTTCTGATTAGTCCTTTTCTACCATGGGATCTGTGGCAGCCCTCAGAGTCCCAGCAGGGGGACGTGGGGCAGCGCTGGGCAGTGCTGGGCAGAGAAACATCGCAGTGGGACCTGGTCTCATTGCTTCCTTTAATTGTTGGAGCTGTCACCCATAGGTGTACCTGTTCTCATCTGAGAATTCTGCTGATTATGCTGAGAATTAAGAGCTGAAGTACCTAACTTGGCTTCTTTAAGAGGATACCTTGTCATCTTTATTTATATTTTCCATTTCTTGCATTCATTTTTATTTTAACAACCTGTTACTTATTGGAAGATGTTTTAATGTTGACCAAGCATGTTGAATTCTGAATGCTTTTCTCCCTGTGTAACCCAGGCGGGTGGGAAGCAATGTGCCCCACGCTCGGGGCTGGGGGCTCTCCTGTTCCCAGTGCCAGCAGTGCCCGTGGGGGCATAACCCGTGTCCTTCAGACGGGCTGACAACCCCTCCCCATTACGGACTGGGGAGTGGCTCTGAGGCCAGCTGCTTTCACCGTTTACCTCCACTATAAACAGCTGAAAACCTTCACCGCTGCTTCTTTGAGTTTTTCCCTGGGCAGGGTAATGAATGCCTGCACTGCCCCAGAGCACCTCTAAACGACCGGCAGCTTTGGCTGTTTGTCCGCCAGCTCCGCAGCAGCGCACACTCCCCGCAGCGGTGTTCACCCGTTCTATCTCAGTACCTGTCTGTCACTGTCCTGCAGCAGAGCTTTGACTGTTTGTGGTTTTTCTTGTGGGTTTATTTTTGCATAGAGTGTGACATTTTGGTTTCGTTGTGGTGTTTCTGACTCTTTGTGCCTTTCCTTTTGTGTTTGTTTCTCCCGCCTTTCCCCAGTTTGCAGCGGGGCCTCGACCTGCCCATCACCAGGTACAGTACCCTGCCCCTTCATTATCATCCTAAACTAATCTGCTGGGGGAGGGGGTGGTCAGAGGCTGTCACCCACTAACCTGGGGCGGAGGCCGGCTTCGGAGCCCCGTTCCTAGCTGCTAGCACCCACATAACCCGCTAACAAGCTGCCTGCAATGCGGAGTAACACGTAGCTCCAGTTTGGTGTCACTTGCAGTCATTAACCACCCCACTTACACCATTTCTATAGGAATGGAGAAGCGTAGAGGTTGCCAGGTATGTGTGAGATTTGCTTGCCTTTTCAAATCGCTAGAAGCTCACGTTTCTCAAAGCACCCAGTGGATTATGTTGCCTGAGCTGAAGACTTCGACGCAAGCTGGGCATTCACATCCTTCCGAAAATCCTACTTTTTAAACTCAGAAATTCAAATTCATTCATTCCTTGTGTATATTCCTGGTTATCTGTTGTCATTACATTGCTCAGTGTTTTCTTTCCCTCAGTATATGAAATCCAGACATTAAGAATCTTTTCAGCATTCCTGGGCATCATCACTTCACTAAGAGGAGCAAAAGTAAGGAATAGTTTTGAAAGTCAAGAGGAGCCCTTGTTGGTAGGGAGGACAAAATAGCAGAGGGATCTGGACAGACATACAGCTCTGTTCTGACCTGTCCAAAGTTGTCTTCTCCATCAGCCCCAACCATCGTCTGTGCCGAAGTGTTTTGTCAGGTGTCTCTGGGGACTGGTTTTGTTCCCTCTTGCAGCTTTAGCAGGGGCAGAGGTGAGCCACCTGGGTGTGTGGGGCAGCAGAGGAGGGGCACAGTGGTATGGGAAGTCTCTCCCAGCTTGGTCATTTCCATGTCATTCTTCCTTCTTAAGTTCTTTACAGAGAGAGTGGTGAGGTAGGTGCTGGAACAGGCTGCCCAGAGAGGTTGTGGATGCCCTGTTCCTAGAGGTGTTTAAGGCCAGATTGGATGGAGTCCTGGACAGCCCGGAGTAGTATTAAATGGGGAGATTGGTGGCCCTGCCTATGGCAGGGAGGTTGGAAATTCATGATCCTTGAGGACCCTTCCAACCATGGCTATTCCGTGATTCCTTGAAAAGAGCCCATCTGTTTGCACTACATTAGTGGAAAAAAAATAATTTAGTTAACTCTAACAGTGTTGGGACAAGCTTACGTCACAGAAGGTGTGTTCCAGGAGAGCTGTAGGTGTCATATCACTCCTGCTGGTCTGAGGGGCTTGGTGCTACAGCAGTGCATGCCTTTGTGACAGCAGGTAAGTGGGACATTGATCAGCTTTGTGCTTTGTTCCTCAACGAGCAGGAGGCAGGCATGCACCCTTCCAGAGCAGGACACAGAAAAAGGCTTAAAGAGTAGAATGAGGTGTTTGCTGGAATTATTTGTTTGCAGGCAAACATCATGTGAGAGAGGGAAATGATTTTTTGCATGGCAAGGGATTGCATTGACAGGCAGTGGTGGAGGAATGTTTTGCAAGGATTACCGTGCAACATGCAGAATGACAGAGTGTCTTGTTTAGGTATTGTTGTTCTTGACCTTAACTTCGTCTCTGTGTTGATATTATATGATATTGATAATGCATGGTGGGAAACTTCTGTCACCCTGACGTTGGCTGGAAAAGCAACACTGCCACACGCACAGCGTCCAGGAGATTCCTGCAGCACAGTGAAGATGACTTTCTGACGCAGGTGATGGGGGACTCAGTGAGGAGAGATTACTGCTGGACCTGGTTCTTACAAAATGGGACTGGCAGGGGATATGAAGATTAGGGGCAGCCTTGGATACGCATGACCATGAGATGGTGAAGTTCAGGATCTTGCATGGAAGAAACAAGGCAATAAGTAGGATTGCAATCCTGGACTTCAGGGAAGTCAACTCTGACCTCTTCAGGGATTGCTTGGAAGTATCCCATTGGTTAGAATGTTGGAAGGTAAGGGGGCCAAGAAGGTTGGTTGACATTCAAGCATCGTTTCGTCCAAGCTTAAGATCTGTGTATCCCTGTGAGTAAGAAATCAGGCAAAGGTCACAGAAGACCCATGTGGATGTGCAGTTTGCTCATGGAAAAACTCGAATGGAAGAAGAAAGCTTATGGAGTGTAGAAAAAGGGTCTGGCCACTTTGGAGGAATATAAAAACATTGTCAGGGCATGCAGGGATAAAGTCAGGAAGGTTAAGGCCCAGCTGGAATTAAATTTGGCAAGGGAGGTCAAGGACAAGAGGAAGGGCTTTGTTAAGTATGTCAGTAGCAAAAGGAAGACCAGGAACAGTGTGGGCCTGCTGCTGAATTAGTGGGTGTCCTGGTAACAAGGGACACTGAGAAAGCAGAATTACTGAACGTCTTCTTTGCTTTGGTCTTTTCTACTGAATCTGGCACTCAGGAATTGCAGACCATGGAGATAAGGGAGAGTCTGGAGGAAGGTAGACTTCCCCTTGGTTAAGGAGGATCTGGTCAGAGGTCATCGAGGCAAACTTGACACATGCAAATCCATGGGCCCTGACTGGCTGCAGTCATGGGTGTTGAGGGAGCTGGCAGAATGATTGCTGAACTGCTCTCTATGATCTCAGAAAGGTTGTGGGGAATGGGAGATGTGCCTGAAGACTGGTGGAAATCCGCTGTCACTCCAATCTTCAGAAAAGGCAAGAAAGAGGAGCCGGGCAACTCTGTGTGTCAGCTTCACCTCCATCCCTGGAGAGGTGATGGAGCGGCTTATTGTGGTGTCATCTCCAAGCAAGTGGAAGAGAAGGAATATCAAGAGTAGTCACTATGAGTTCAGCAAGAAGAAATCATACTTGACCATGATGTCGTGACCGGGTCATGAGGAGAACAGTGAATGCTAACTTGATGCCAGCAAGACTTCTGACACTGTCTCCCTTAACATCCTCATAGGCAAGCTTGGGAAGTATGATATAGACAAGTGGACAGTGACGTGGATTGAGAACTGGCTGACTGGCAGAGCTCAGAGGGCTGTGATCAGTGGCATCTAGTTGGAGGCGTGTAGCTAGTGATGTTCCCTGGCAGTCAGTACAGGATCTGGCCATGTTCAGCATCCTCATCAATGACCTGGATGAAGGGAGAGATGCGCCCTCAGCAAGTTTGCTATGATACAAAGTTGGGAGGAGCGGCTGACAGGTGTGTTGAATGTCAGGTGTGACATTCAACCAAGACCTGGACAGACTGGAGAGTTGGGCAGAGAGGACCCTGATGAGGTTCAGCAAGAGCAAGTGTAGAGTCTCGCACCTGGGGAGGAACAACTGCAAGCATCAGTACGGACTGGGGGCTGTGCTGCTGGAGAGGAGCTCAGAAGAGAAGGACTTTGGTGTCTTGTTGGCCAGCAGTGTGCCCTGGTGGCCAGGAAGACCAGTGGGACCCCCGTGTGCATGGCACAGAGCGTGACCTGCAGAACGAGGGAGGTTCTCCTCCCCTCTGCTCTGCACTGGGGAGGCCACATCTGGAACACTGAGCCCAGTGCTGGGCTGCTCAGATCAAGGCAGGCAGGGAGCTGCTGGGGAGAGCCCAGGAGGGCTACAGAGAGATCGGGGCCTGGAGCATCTCCTGTGTGAGGAAAGGCTGAGAGCCCTGGGGCTGTTCAGTGTGGGGGGGAGAAGGCTGAGAGGGATCTGAGCAACACTTAGAAATGTCTGCAGGGTGGGAGGCAAGTGGATGGGGCCAGGCTCTTTTTGGTGGTGCCCAGAGACAGGACGAGGGGCAATGGGCACAAACTGGAACCCAGAAGTTCCATATGAATGTAAGAAAAAATATTTTCATTTTGGAGGTGGCAGAGCTCTGGAACAGGCTGCCCAGAGAGGTGGGGCAGTCTCCTTCTCTGGTGATATTCACAATCCACCTGGAAGCTTTCCTGGGCATCCTGCTCCAGGGAGTTAGCAGGGGGTTGAACTGGGGGATCTCCAGAGATCCTTTCCAACTCCTGTGATTCTGTTTTTATTGTGTTTGTCAATCAATAGTTATTTCATAGGTTGATACTAATACAAATTGTGGTTTGTTAATAAGTCTTGTAATGATTACCAGGTTGGTGGAAGCAGAACCTGAAAGAGTTGGCTCTGTGGTGAGGCAGGTCATCCCTTCAGGAGATGCTCACAGTGCCGGCAGGGCTCACTGATGGCACTGCAGCTCCCTGCTGTCATAACGGGTTAAAACTTTCTTTGGATCCAGCTGTGACCCTGTCACCAGTTAGCATTTGTAATTTCCCAACCGTTTTCCTGACTTGGGCACCCTGTAACTTTTAATCCCAACGCCAGTGGTTGCCCACCATGCAGACTGAGGGCATGGAGAAAGGGATTTTTGCTACTGACCTGTGCAGAGGAGTGACAGCTGTTGGGGTGAATTCATTGCAGAACCAACATGAGGAGGAATTTGAGTCTAATATAGATTATTCTTCTTCCATGAACTGGGAAAATGTAGTCTGCTGAAATAGAGAAAAATCATGGAATATGAGCAGCAGGCTTTGAGGCTGATTTTGTACCCTAAAGACTCCGAAGTGCATCTCCCACAGTGGTGCTGCTGTGTCTTAGGGCGATGTAACGTGTTCTTGCAGGAAGGCAGCAGCACAACGAGGTTTGTAACGATCTGTGCGATGCCATTAATATGCCTGTTATTGATCCTGCGTCTTTTGCAGTCAAGGGATGGATTACTCTTTAATGTTATTTCTTGTAATTATTAAATCTTCGGAGTCCTCAAATTAGCACGGTTCAAGCACCTGAAGATGGTGGGGGCAGCTGTATCAGCAGTCTCTTCTTGGTTGGGAATGCTCCAGTGGTCCCAATCTGGCCAGTGCTATAGCAGGTGTCATCGAAGTCTATGTGACAGAAAATGTTAAGATGAGATTTAGGATGCTGTGCTGAGTGAATAGCAGCTGAAGTCCGACGGAAACAACCACAGTGTTTCTGATTAAAAGTCAAATGTGCGTAACTAATCCTTGCTGCTGGTAGCACAGCTATGGAGGCATAGCTGGGAAGCCTGGCATTCTAGTAGGGAGCAGAAGGGTGCAATCGAAGATTTTGCAGCGGTATTTTTGCATCTGCTGTCCACTTGTGGCTTCCTGCACAGCCCAGGGGTGCTGCCTTGGTCTGGGTTTGGAAATCCCACATCCCACTGTGTGCACAGGGTGTCCGTGTTTGTATTCTTGTTGGCATGAAGCTATTGGGTCACCTTGTTGCTTCGGATCCTCACAACTGGAAATAGCAGTTTTCTTTGAAGCTGGAGTCTAAAAATGCAGAATAACCTTTAATTTGGGAAACAACTTCAGGAGCACATGGGATATTTTAGAATGGATGCTTTGAAGAGGCCACTATAATTAAAAACAGAAATGAATGTAAGTATAAACTCAAAGGTTGCATGGCTTATAGTTGTATTTGAGGTGAGTTTACTGGTTGTGGCAGGCTGAGTTGTAGCTCATTGCAGTTTTATTTGGGGTTGTGTGAGTTCTTCTGAGTGTGGCTTATACAGCGAAGGCATCAGCTGCGTGCTGATGCGTGCTCAGAGCCTTGCGGTGCTGAGAGGTCGGAGATTTGTTGCCAGAGTTCATTTGGTCATGGGGGATGAATGAACCTTTTGGTGACTTATGGCCAGCAAGTTGAGCTTTGCTTTTACTGCCTTTCTCTGCAGTTCTATGCGGGGCTCCGTGGACCATTGCAGCTTCCAGCCTCACTGCAGTGGAGCAATCTGAGCAGTGCCCAGTGCGTGCCATGTGCTCTGCTGTCCCCGGGAGCTGCACTGCTCAGTAGAGCTTTCAGAGCATTTCCCTGGGAGTGAGGACTGAGAAATCTGGAGTCAATAGGAAATCAATTAAGATGCAGCAGAGGTTTATCAGGAGGCTGGCACTTGCTTTGGTCATTTATTTGCCAGCTTGGAAATCTGGTGTCTCTTACGGCAACTCTTCAGCAGGCAGTGCCTGGGACCACAGAGTCGTGTGAGGGAGGAAAATTAAAGCAGAATATGCTTAATAAGAGGATATTGGGATGTCTATAAGGACTGATTGGGTAAGTGGCAGAGCAGTGCTGAGAGAGTAGGCAGGAGGTTCATGGTGGATTTCCTTCATTGATCACCTGGCACAAAGAGCAGGTAATGTCTGCAGCAAACTTAATAAGTACAAGGCTGGGAAGTACAGGCAGCATAGGGAGCCTGTGTGAGAAGGACCAGTGCAGTGGAAGCAAGGTGCAATTCAGCATCACAGAAAGCAGACCCTCACACTTCAGTACCAAGGGAAATACCAAGTGTTGGCTGGAACCGCCCGTGTGATGCCATCGTTACATGAGCAAGAGCAGTTATTTCCAGTTGGAACAGGGAGTTATTACTGCTGTGTTAGGAAATAGTGGCAAAACCATGTCTGGGGTATGTGTGTGATTATTCTTTTCTTATTTTCCACCAAGATTTCCTTGCGCAGATATAGGGAGGGCTGCTGAGATGATGAGAGCTTGTTGAGCAAGCAGACTGGAAGAGTTTAGCTAGCAGAGGTGGACAGATGAGGAGTGAGACTGGGACTTGAGGACCGCAGCTCAGTTCTTCTCTGCTTCCTTGTTGACTGGAGAGTGTTTTGCACTAATTTGACCATTGCTGGGATATACAGGGCTTTTTGATGGCAGTGGGCTGGGAAGGGTTCTGTCAGAAGCATCAGAGCACCTTTTTTCTGGCTCTGTGTGGGTACTGTGTGCTCCAGGCCAAATTCTGCTTTTTCTGGAAGAAAGGGGGGCAGAATGTCTGTTTTTAACCTCCTGGCATTCTCCTGTAGGGTACCATTAGCATTACTTGAAAATGGTGTCTGTGTGGGCCCCCCTTTGACTTTCAAGACAAATCTTTTAGCAAACCAAATCAGCATAGTAAAATATTTCTGTAAATGACTTTGAATATTGCTAGTTTAGCTTCGAAGGGACATAAGAGAGGAGAAAGCATCAAGAAGTCTGTCAGTGCAGTGTTTGGGCAGTAAAACCCATAAACAAACCTGTTGCACAGTGCTCTGAAATCTGGTTTTCTTGTGTATTTTAATTTGACTTACAGGAACTGGAATAACTCAAAGTAATGCAGACTTTGCTGGAGTCCTCTGTGGCTGGCTCTTCCACATCCTCCTGTTGTCTTGTTTGGAATAATGGATCTGCTTCTTTTCTTGCTGTGTCCTTCTTCCTAGAAGTAATGAGAACCTTATTTTTTTTCCTTCCTCTCTGGATCCGAGCTCCCTCTGTGGTGGTGTGGGCAGTGTTGTGTAGAGGTTGTTGGTTTGGTTGGTTTGCTTGCTTAACCCCAAGTTTCCTTGCTGGAGGTTCTCTTTCTGCCATAAAGCATCTTGGCACTCCCCTGGTGTTACTGAGTGCCCGGTGGAAGGGCAGTCCTGCCTGCCGCCACCCAACGTGGTGTACAGAGCATGCTTTCATTCCATCTGCCAAGGCAGAAAGGAGAGCTGGCTTGTGTTCCACGAGGAGCAGTTTTTCCAGCATGTCTCCCCTACCCTTTGTGTTTCATGCTCTGCCAGAGGCAGAAAGGAAAAGCTGTCCGTAAGCCAGCACTTTCCATTGCTGTCAGGTTTTCCTCAGCCATTTCAGTGCTGTGTTACCAGCAGGCCCCTGACAAGTGTCTGCAGGAGCATGGGCTGGCACCTGCGTGCACTACTGCAGGATTCCCAGCTTCTGCCCTGCTGCTGGGGAGCATCCATCTCCACCACCTTCACTCTGGATAGATGCAGAACCGTGGTGGCTATTGCCTTTTCTCTTTTCTTTTTTTTCTTCTTTTCTTCTTCTCTTCTTCTTCTTCTTCTCTTTTCTTATTCTTCCCTTCCCTTTCTTCTTCATTCCCTACTGTACTGTAGCTCTCCCAGAGTTCTGCAACCCGCTAACAGCATAGCAATGGTCATAACTCAGCAGTTGGCAGTGGGGGAAGAAAGGACATGATTTCCTTCATTCCTGAACCTTGAGTACAGGCCCTTCCAAGGCATCCCCCCTGATGGTTCTGCACATTCATAAGTAGCTCTGAGAATAGTGAAGAGAAGCGGCAATGAAAGAAAATATTTTAGAATTCTTTTTGCACTTTTTGATGTCTTCAAGGATTGAAGAATTTTAGAATTCAGTTAATCTCACCATAAATTTAGCATATATCCAGGTAGTGGTTCCCCTGCATCTAGACAGCCACACAGCTGTGTTAGTGGAGGAGCAGAGCAGCGTTGCTCTTGCTGTTCCCTTCCTGTACCCTCACTTCCAGATGTCCCCATGCAGCTGCCTTCTGTCCGGGTCACACGGAGCAGAGTGATGGTTCTACACCCAGGCTCACAGGGGTGGATGTAAGGCGTTGTGCTCACCTTAATTGTGTCTGGATTTCTGCAGCAGGGATTGGCTTTTCTGGAGACGTGGTTTGGTGTGGGAGCACTGTAGGTGTCATAGAGCGCTCAGCAGCACCAGAACGACCGTTTTAATTTCATTGTCATGTCACTTAGAGGCATCACAGCTTCCTTCTGCCCTACCCGGTTCTCTCCGAATGCCAAGGCAGACAAGCCCAGCTCATGCTTTCATCCTTCAGCAATTACCCTCTCTTTTTTTGGTTCTCACCGCTCATGATGCAGTTACTCACAAACTATTTGCATTAATACACTTCATCAGTCAGCAGTCTTTGGTGTGATGTACGATGACCTAATTTTATTATTGTTATTTTTTTGCTTAGCAATTAAATATGTGGCATTTCTTATCCTTCCAGTCTGGATGCAGAAGTGGAGACCAAACTCATGATTTGAGCATGTGTTACTGCTTTATCTACTTTAGTATTGAAAGAGACCAGAAAGGAAAGATGTTTGACTTAGGAGCAGAGTAAATATAGAGTCTTTGTGTAGCATCACAATTCCTACAGTTAATTATTGTATGTTTTTTTCTTTATTAATTTCTGTACTTTCATATGAAACTTTTCAAGAGGAGTTTCTGCCCCTGATGTGGGGTTCTGGTAGGACAGTCCTGCACCAGTTCAGTGTCCTTCTTGCTGTTTGTGTAGGAGCTCAGTCACAGCAGGGCAGAAAGATGAATGGAGCTGTGTGCAGTTAGGATGCATGTTAAATCCTATTCCTTCCTATTGATCTGTAAGCTGTTCCATTGGCTTTCTTTCTGTTTCCTGCTTGCTTCGTTATTGAAGGGAGGATTCAGACCTATACAGGTAATTTTAACTCCTGGTTCTGCATGGCATAAGTGTCTCTTTATCACTTGCATCATTATTCTGTTAGTGAATGCCTGACTGTCTGCATACCTTACCAACTGGGTCTGAGGGTTGCAAGGGCTTGCAGCCGGAGCGAGGTGTGCTGTGAATGCTCCATCCCGAGATGCTGGTGTCTTTCCCAGTGCTTCTGAGTCGAGACCTGAGCACATTCCAGTGGGTTCCTTGATTTCCTGGACCTGTTCCACTCGTTTGGGGCATCACTTCATGCAAACATGGTAGAGGAGTTTGGTGCACCTGGAAGAGGTTGCCACCCTTCTGGAAACGGAGCACAAGACAAGTCCTGTGGCTCGGTTTGCATGGGGCATCTCCGGCCTTCGTAAAGCTGGGCCTTCAGCTGTTCTGGAGTTAGATTGGAACAGCTGCCTTGATCTTTGATTTCCTGATAAAGGTGGCTTTTGGCAGTCAGCCCACCTTATAAAAGCATATTTAACAGAAATTGTGTTTCTGGCAGTTGCTGTGAAAGTTGGGGCATACAATTCAGTAGGCGCAAACTAAAGCTAGATGTAAAGTTTCACAACTGGCAAAAATTGAAGGCACTAGCATGAGCTTGTTGTTTACAAATAGTCAGAAATTGTCCTGCTGTTTTCTGAATGCGTGGCAACCCTTTGGAAGTAGTGCTGAATGGCAATATTGTCTGCCTTTGTAATGGTGCTGCCCATCCTTCCCCAGAAGGACTGACCGACTCTTTGTTCTCTTCTCTCTCCTCCCTCTCTCCCTTCCCTGCCCCAGTTTTTTCAGAGGCCTCAGATCCAGCCTCCACGAGCCACCATCCAGAACAGCAGCCCTTCCATCCGTCCTGGTGCACAAACACCGACCGCAGTGTATCAGACCAACCAACACATCATGATGGTTAATCACCTGCCGATGCCGTATCCCATGCCTCAGGCCCCCCAGTACTGTATACCACAGGTACAGATACCTTTCCCAGACCCTCTAGAAGCCAAGCAACCTTTGCTCTGTCTGGATTTTCTCCATGACTGCTGCAGCATAAGCAGAGGGAGAGAGATGTACCTCTCATTGCATATTTAGACCCCAGCCTTCTCTTTTATGAAATATCTGCTCATCTGAGCAAGGAGGCATTAGTAATAAATTATCCCTTTAGTTTTTGAGGTCCTTTCAGAAACAGTGAAATCAAGCTCCCTGGAAAATGCTATAGATGTATTTAAATTGACTTAACAGTTCTAAAACCTCGGGCTGTGTAAGAATGCAGTATTACTGAAAGCAGGGGAGTGGCTTGTCTTTGTAAAGAAGTTTGACAACCGCATCTTTATTGATTTTTGAGGGCTTTGTTACATTTCCTTCATGCAGCAGCACACCATCTCCTATCTCTTTATTAACAGGTGGTTATGTTTTTCCTCCTAGTATCGCCACAGCGGCCCGCCCTATGTCGGGCCCCCCCAGCAGTACCCTGTGCAGCCGCCGGGGCCGGGCCCCTTCTATCCAGGGCCGGGTCCTGGAGAGTTCCCCAACGCCTACGGTGAGTTCTGCTTGGCGGTTTCCTGGGCGTGTTCTTTGCACTTGTCAAGCTGAAGATTTAGAATACCAAACTGGATTAGCATTTATTTGAACTTTAAATAGCTGCTCGATTTGGTTGTGTCACAGCCCTTATTATTCACTCCTGAAAAAATCACAGTAACGGAGTTTTGTTTGTATGAATGCTCAAGGAGAGGCTGCAGCTCATAGAACTACCCACAGTCACGTGTGAACAAGAATAGTGGCTGGCTGTTATTCCCTGCTAAATCATTATTACTGATTAAGGTGTTGTTGATGCATCTCTCAGCCCTTCTTTTCTCTGAGCTATACCCTCCATGTGTGCACAGTAAGGGAGAGTTTAGTATCTTTGGTTCCCGTGTTCCTCATTTGGTGTTTAGAAGGGAGAAGGGCAAGCCTTGTGCCTTACCTGCTGTCTGGTGCTGTGGGGTGTGTGGTTGCCCTGTGCCGTGTACTGTGGCTGTTTGCACGTGGTGCTGAGTGTGTGTGACACTGTTTCTCAGGCCCTGAGGCTTAGAGCCACACCACAAAGCAGAGGGGCTTCCTCCTCCATCCCTCAGCAGCTCACAGCTGCCTCTCTCCTGGCTCCCTGCATGCAGATGGGTGAGCGTCCGGCTGTCCCATGGCACCTCTTACTTTGGCAGAAGTCATCTTCTTCCAAAGTTCTTGAATCATAGAATCATAGAATCACAAGGTTGGAAGCGACCTATAACATCATCTAGTCCAACTGTCTTCACACTACCACTGCTACCACAAGCACTAAACCAGATCTTGCAGCTCCTCATCCAGACGCCTCTTGAACACTGCCAGAGATGGCGACTCCACCACCTCCCTGTGCAGCCATTCCAGTGCCTGACCACTCTTTGAGAGAAAAAGTTCCTCCTCAAGTCTAACCTAAACCTCCTCTGGTACAACTTGCAGCCATTTCCCTGGGTCCTGTTCGTTGCCTGGGAGAAGAGGCCAAACCCCTCCTCACCACAGCCTCCCTTCAGGAAGTTGTAGAGTGCAGTGAGATCTCCCCTGAGCTCCTCTTCTCCAGACTGAACAATCCCAGCTCCCTCAGCCGCTCCTCATAAGATTTGTGCTCCAGACCCCTCACCAGTTTCGTTGCCCTTCTCTGGACACGTTCCAGGCCTTCAATGTCTTTCTTGCACCCAAAACTGAACACAGCACTCGAGGTGCGGCCTCACCAGCGCTGAGTACAGGGGGATGATCACCTCCCTGCTCCTGCTGGCCACACTATTTCTAATGCAGGCCAGGATGCTGTTGGCCCCCTTGGCCACCTGGGCACACTGTCAGCTCATGTTCAGCCGAGCATCAACCAACACCCCCAGGTCCCTTTCCTCTTCAGTCTTCCAGCCACTCATTTCCAGGCCCATAGCGCTGCATGGGGTTGTCATGGCCAAAGTGCAGGACCCGGCACTTGGCCTTGTTGAACCTCATTCCATTCACCACAGCACAGCGATCCAGCTTATCTAAGTCCCTCTGAAGGGCCTCTCTACCCTCAGGCAGATTAACACCACCTCCCAGCTTGCTGTCATCTGCAAACTTACTGAGGGTGCACTCAATCCCCTTGTCTAGGTCATCAATAAAGATATTAAACAAGATAGGCTCAGTTCCAACGCCTGGGGGACACCACTTGAAACAGGTCGCCAGCTGGACTTCACTCCATTAACCACCACCCCTTGGGCACGGCCCTCCAGCCAGTTTCTTACCCAAAGAAGTGTGTACCTGTCCAGCCATGGGCAGCCAGTTTCCCCAGAAGAAGCTGTGAGAGACCATGTCAAAGGTTTTGCTGAAGTCTAGGTAGACTGCATCAGCAGCCTTTCCCTCATCTACCAGTCTGGTCACCCACTCATAGAAGGAGATGAGGTTGGTGAAGCACGACCTGCCTTTCATGAACCCGTGCTGGCTGGGCCTGAGAGGAAGGGCCTTGGAACGGCCTTGGAAGCCCTTTCTCATTTCTAGCATGCTGCCATATGTGATGCATACCACAGTTGCAGCACAGTCCCCTCCAAGAGTATCTGCAGGATCTGTCAGCACAGACAAACCTCCTCTGTTTGAATGACTGCAGAAATAGGTGTCTTGCAGTAATGCATATCACTGTTATTTACCTTGCCTTGCCCGCTTGTAAGAACCCTGGGAAACCCCAGGATGTTCCAACAAGCCCTTCTTTTGGAGCTGCAGCCCTTGTTTTCCAGCTGACAGCTTAGGGAATGCATCCTTTGAAGTTGCAGATCAGATTGTGCAGGGCTGGGTTCGCTGGTTTTCATGTATTTCTCCACTTGCTTGAGATAGCAGTAACCTCCTGTTTTGGTTACAGTGGTCACTATGACATCAAAAGTACAGTGCAGATTGTCATTCCCATTTAAAGGTTAGTTCAGCTGAAGAATAAATCAGCTTACTTCAGAGGAGAGTGAAAACAAGTGGCCATCTAGCATCCATGGAAAAACAGACAACAGCCCTGCATTGTACACTTGCCTGCAGTCTGGTATGTGGGCAGGAGAGCTCTGCTGTGATACTCCTGTTTGTCGAGCACTTCTGGAGAGAACCCATTCTCCGTGAGCCAGTCTCACTGCATAAAGAAAATGCAGTGGTGTTGGATGTCAGGCATGCAATTAGCAATGCGGTGTAATTTTGGAGTGCTCTCTGTGGCCATGCTTCTTTGTGTCACCATGCAGTGGAGCCCAAGGGGGGCACATTGCTTTTCCTGCCCTAGGGGTCTCAGCAGCCATTGAGGCACATGCTAAGCTTTCACACGAAGAAGTGACCTCATCTCCTGTCTTGCTGGAGCAGCAGCTCCCATTTAATGGAAGTGGGGAGCCTGGTTTGCAGCTGGAAGTTGTGTTTGTCAAAAGAAGGGCAGGAGGAGCAGGTGGACAAACAGCTTCACCTCTTGTGTTTGGTTTTGTTTTGTTAACAAGCTGAATGTCTCATCATTTCTGTGCTGTCCTTCCCCAGGAACACCTTTCTACCCAAGTCAGCCGGTGTATCAGTCAGCACCCATCATAGTGCCTACGCAGCAGCAGCAGCCTCCACCAGCAAAAAGAGAGAAAAAAACGGTAAGGGAGCCTCTCTGACAGTACGTTGTCTCTGGGCACTGCCCTGCTGCTAAGGCTGAAGGAAATGGGTGAGGGCTTGAGCTGAAACCTGAGCTTTATCTTCAGAGGGGCTGACTCTTCCATCTCACACCCACACTGTATTGGCACCGCGCAGCACTACTTCATTTCAGTTTCAGATGGGGGACCTTTCTGTGCTGTTCTGTAACGTCACAGCCAGATGGGAGGGAACACAATTCTGCAGCCCATGAGAACCCACAAGCTATACACTGAAGAATATATGCACTGATACTTCATTCCATGCAACCTGACGAATTCCCACCCGCAGTGACAGCGGTTCAGGCGCCGGTTGAGTGCTCAGTCAGTGTGTTCTTGGGTGTTTGGTTTTGGATGGCATGCTCCATCTCAGTGTGGAAGAGGAAAACAGAAAGGCTTCCTCCTGTCCCAGCATCTGGGCTGCCAAGGCCACTGCATCTCCTACTGGGGTAATATGGGGTTTTTTCTTTCTTTCTTTTTGTCTGGCAAGTTTATTTCTGTAGCTAAACTGCTAGATTGTCTAACTTTTGCTAAGCTTATTTTCCAAACCTAGAGACCATAGATGCACAGCGAGGCATGTATTTCGTCTTAAAGTTGTGCCACACTTGCTTTAGATCCAAGTGAAGAGGTGGGTGTATTTGATGAGCATTTTGATTGAATTGGGTTTTAAGATGAAGGGATGAAATACATGCATTTCAGGTTACAGTGCTCCTGCAGAGCATCAGCTCAGTCCAGAGCATCTCATGCTGTGTGGGATGACAGCATGTCCTGCCCCTGAGCCCCAGGGACAGCGTGTGAAGGAAGACTCACTCGAACTCTTTCTTTGTTCCAAACCGTAGATCCGGATCCGGGATCCAAACCAGGGGGGCAAAGATATAACAGAAGAAATAATGTCCGGCGGGGGCAGCAGGAACCCAACGCCGCCCATTGTCAGACCCACCTCCACCCCAACCCCGCCTCAGGTAACAGCATGAATGTGTGGCTTTGCCCTTTGTTAGAGCAGCTTCTTTATCTTCCTCCACACCAGCAACACCTGGATGCTCTTTCCCTAAGTTGTCTGTGTCCTTAAGCTTTTTTTTTTCTCCAGGTTTGGTCATTTTTAGCAGCCTTCAGCTTGTAACATGCAGAGCTGCAATGCTGCTGGCAGTCCCTCTCTCCCCTTGTGTGTGTCAGCAGTGGTGGTTGAATCACAGAATCACAGAATTGTAGGGGTTGGAAGGGACCTCCAGAGATCATCGAGTCCAACCCCCCTGC